AGATAAAGGGAACGCTTATAAATAGCAATATAAATTTATTTATTAGATATATTTATAACCTTTTAATCAACATATTTAATTCATACTGCAGAGTATTCATTATTCTTCTTAGTTGTACGTTAGTTTAGTTAGTTTTCTTATCTCATGCCTGCTTGGTGGAGTTTTCGGAGGCGTTGCCGCTCTAAATAAGTAATAAACACCTTGACTTGGCCTGGGCCTCGGCCTCGGCCTCCCCTTGCACGTTTCCTTGTAATAAATTTCTATTTTCCTGTTGTTCCTGTACAAGAGTACAGGATGCGGGAGCTGGATTGGAAGCAATCACAGTCGGGTGCATAGTTTGGTGGCTTTTAAAATTTTCATAAGCAACGCTGGGGCGTCGCATTCGTAATACTCGTACAACGAAATTTATTGCATACACTCAGGCGCTATAGCCTGCTTACTTATTCATATGAAATTGCCTGATTACCGTCGACCAAATCGTTTTGCCCGGCCAGTTCTGCCGTGTACTACGTGTATTGGTACGTGTTTGAATTATATGCCGGTCATGCTGTGAATCGGGATTTGGGTTCCGTATTTTGGGTAGGGTAGAGGGAGGGGATCCCAGGAATAATGCGCCTGTTTGTATGGCAATTGCTGCCCTGGGCCGCATTTTTTATGAACTGTCCGGGTCATGACTTTTATGATTTGTATGTCCATTGGCCCATGGAGCATTCCGGTACTTGCGAACTCACATGTGTGTAGTTTTTCTCGCTCACAGAACTCATTGAATTAGGCGGAATGACGGAATGACAATGCGGCAAATGGAGGGGAGAAAATAATACTTGACAGATGAAATGGGATGGCAAAAAATTGGGATGGTTTCTGAAATGGGTTGGGGAAGGAAACATTTTATAAGGTTGTAAGGGTTATGAAGTTTTGGGAGAAGGTATTCCAAAAATGCTTGAAATTTATCCTTATTTTTAGAATTTTTTTTAATATTTACATTAATCATATTTACTAGTATATACAATCGAAAATAAGAAAGTTTTCTTGTATTTCAAGATATTTTATATCCTTGCAGAGTATTATAATTTTAGTCAGAAGTTTGCATTAAGTAACTATGATCAGTAATTAAATGTAATCACTAAGTATCTATGATCAGTAAGTATCAATGAACATTTAGTATCTATGACCTGTGATTATCTTTGACCAGTAAGTATATTTGACCAGTAAGAATGTATGATCAGTTACTAACTTTGAACACTAATAAACAATGACTTGCAACTTTTGTAACACAACACATTTTTGATACTTGACCGGCAGAAGACACTTCGTTCCGGGGATGTTAGAACCAGTTGGGAATCATATGTACAGATGTGCGAGATTTGTTGTGGATCAAATTTAAGCTATTTCAATGAACTATGGAGTCATTCTGGTATATAATTTTACTAGTATATAAGTCGGAGCATGGCAAATCGGTGGACTATATATAGATACATATATAGCTGCCATAGGAACGAGCGGAAATTTTTAAGAAAAGTACTTATAACTTTTCCAATTTTTAACAGATTTTCATCAAATTTAATATATAGCCATTATATATTAATCTAGAATTTTGTGTAAAATATTATCAAAGTCGGACTTCTATATCATATAGCTGCCATACAAAGGATCATTCTTATTTTGTTGTCGATTTGATTTATGAAGATTTAACAATCTTAATCGATCGAAAATTAGTTTTAGGAACGATATATTATATATTAATCGAACGTTTATAATAAGTATTCATACAAAATGACAATTAAAATTAAACCTTTAGAACAAGGTATTAAAGAAGATATATATATTTATAAATGAACAATTAAAACATTTATTTTCCTTTTATTTATTTAGAAAATTATAAGAAGATTCATGTTATTCATATCTAAACACTTTCCATTTTCCCTTTCTTTTCCTCAATTTTACAACTTTATTCCCACGAGGTTTATGTGGAATTTTCAAGCTAAAAGTATTTTCCCCTGTCGTGCTGTCGAGTTCCTTCGGCAAACACTTGAGGCTGTATCAATATTTTGGTCGAATGAAAATCTCCACTCAGCTTATAAAAATAAAGGGAAAAAATAAACGAAAAGCGAAAACACACAAAGTGTGAAAGCCTTGAGGACTAGCACGTGCTCAAAATCTCAGCAGGGAAACTTGCTATAAACACCTTGCCGAGCACTAAAATATAACTTAATCCCAACGAAATTGATATGAAATTTTACAGACACCAGCGACACACGGGGCGTATGAGTAACAAAAAGAAAAACAGGAAGAAAATTCTGTGAGGCAGAAATTTAAATTCCACTCATGAGGTGTGAAAATGTTTGCTATGCTCCGGCACATAAAAGTTTTTCCTTTTCCCAGTGTCCCTTTCATGTTGACAGTTTTTGTTGCCGCTTCCCTTTTTGCTGTTTTCTCCCATTTTGCTAATTTGTTGACGCTTTTTGCCTGCTGTATCAACTTTGATGTTTACTTTGATAATTTTAGATTGAAAAAGTTTTGCCACATTTCGTAGCACGTTTTCAAGAGAGATAGAGAGTGAGCGACACTCTTCACTGATTATGATTTTGAATAGAACTTGAAGTCCTGCTTTTGACTCTTTAAGGAAAATGTGCGAAAAGAAAAAGTTCTGACTAATTACCCACATGAAGAGCTAAGACTGAGGCAACCTTGTGCCACATTTTCCGCTCTCTTGGCGCTTTCTTTGTGTCCTGCTGACAAAAGAGACTCAAAAGCGGTAGCGGAAGGGAAACGGATCTCTTGAGGCTGTCAGCCACGCCTCTTGGCATACTTTACAATTACTTTTAGACCCAGCCCCACATGCCAAGTAATTTTATCTCACTTATTGCCTCGCCTTCTGGCTGCTAATTTTTACACTCGCCGCCTCCAAATGACATCCCCGAGGAGGTATTCATGAGGCGAAAAACATCAGCAACAATGGTGGGGAAAAAGTAGAACAAACTTTCTTTCCTCTTGCCCTAACCCAAGGGTTGCTTACCCAAAAACAAAAAAAGAACAGAATTTAATGAAAACCCATCGTTTCCATTTATTAAATTCTCATGTTCATCTTAGCCTGTAATTTACTCTTGGCCACAGAAACTTCTGCTGGCAGGAAAAACACTCATGGCCTGGCAAATGTTTATCTTTTTGGCTTGGCGTGCAATTCATAAAGCAATCCTCAAGAAATGCAAATATCTGCAGTTGGTTTTTGCAGACACTTGCACACACAGACCCGCTGAAGGTGGAGAGTTGGTCTGAGGTCTGAGGTCCGATGTCTGAGGCATCTTAACCGCAGCTAAACAAGTAATTTTGCGCACATTTCACTTGTCATATGACACGTAGTTATTCCCGCTCCTCCTGTCTGGAAGCGATTTTCCTACTTAGCAGCTAGGAAAAGTTGCAAGTTTTCTTCCAATTTTCCCCCTAGGCCACCGAAGGCAGCGCCTCATAACGCGTGTTAAGTGCTTCCTAGAGTGCAGATGCAGTAGGGGGATACTAGATACGAGATACAAGATACAAGATACAACTGCTTCGTCCTTTTTGCTTGTTAGTTTCCGCTTTCGCAAAAAGGTGCGGCGCCCCGAAGCAGGTTTTCCTTCTCGCATTTTCCTCTCCTTTTTTTGGGAAACACTTAAAGCATATCGGATAGTATTAAGATATTTTGCCAGCCAGGAGTCGTGAATATTTCCAGCCATTGTCTTAATGCCTTTCGTAGTTGCCTTCGTTAATGGCCACGTTTTGCCAATTAAAATTATAATTGGCCAGCGTAAAAACTAACTGCCAAATCTCTCTCTCTTTCTTTAAGCCTTGGAAACTTTTGCTCAGTGCACTTTTGCACTCGTACTAACTAAGTAAGTTTCGTTTTAAGACAGCTGCCAGACGGCAGGGGGGATGAGAGGGACATGCATCATAGAGCAGATCAAGTGTAAGCAACAAACACCTTGATATTAAGCTTAAGTGACACCATGGCTTCGGGGGTAAACAGGGCGTATACGCAATTTATCAGTCTCAAGCAACTGGGAGCGTAATTAAGGCAAAAGTTGCTTTAATAACTTGTCTGATTGATAACAGTCTGTGTCCACACAAAAATATATATATATATTTTCCAATTGCAACTCAATTAAGATTTCGCTATCTTGGCAGTAAATGGAATTCCTTTGCAAACTTAATGACAAATGATTCAGTTCTCTTGGCCATAAATATTATACTGGGGGCAGGGGCGCAGAGAGTTCTCTACTCTCGAGTTCAAAGTTCAAAGATGCCAAGGGTCTACAACTTGTAATTGGCACACAGATTGTTTGGGGGGAGAATCGGCAACATGTGTAGTTGGTTTGTTCGGGACGAACCCCCGTATGTCCCCTTGGGTTCCAAATGAAAAAGGTTGCTCTTTGAACGCCGCCTTTTGTGTTTGCCTTTTCGCCTTGGTTTTGCTACTGAGGTTTTTTGGGTTTCTGTGGGTTTTCCCCCAGACAAATTGCCACCGATTAAGATTTTTTATCGGACTACTGAGCGGACGACATGAAAAATGAAGATGTTGAGGTGGCCTCTTTGTATTGGTTAAATGAAGTTAAGTAGTCCAAAGGACCTTTAAGTGAGTGAGGCTTCTCGAAAGGAAAGTTAATTCAAGTTTGGTAGGAAATCTAGAAGGAAACCACATTACAGAGTAGGAAAACTCTGTCTTATAAACTTAAACTAAAACTTGCTTTACTTAAACGTAAATACAGAGAAACACAATTTAAAGTATCCTTGTAGCGGCTTCACCCCCAAAATCCAATGGTATCCTTTACACCTGTAATAACCGCCTTCAGCGGGCTAATTAACACATTTTCCCACCCGCAATCACTATGAAAACCCATTAATTAAGTGCTAATAATGATGACATCAGGGCAAGACATCTCACCCCCAAATTGTCAGAATAACTATAAAACAGAGACATTATTTGGTGGGTAATTCACACCTCTGTGGACATTGTCACCTTTAGGATGGAACTGAAATCAATGGATACCGTGGAAATGCCCCTTTTTGGGAGCACTTTAAAGTTAATGAAGTTTTGGTCATATCTCTTTGTTCACAATTGGCGACGTTATGTGGCCATGGGTCCATATATAATGATCAATTGTACGCAGTACGTGGATATATATTTGAGTACGGAATCATTGGATTTTATCATCAGAAATGTATATCTAGCTGTGTTGTTTACAAACACAATTGTGAGAGGTGTTTTGTTGTGCGTTCAGCGAGGAAGTTACGAGAGATTTATTGAGATGCTAAAGTCGTACTATGTTCAGTTATTGGTGAGTGAGGCAAGAAGTCCAGAAATTATATCTAAAGAAGTTTTAATTCTTAAGGAATCTAAGGATCCCGTTGTGGCTAACTTGGTGGCAGAGGCCACACGACTTTCCTTGTTTATCAGTAGAATTAATTTGTTGATGGGCACCTGCACTTGCATAGGTTTTGTTACCTATCCCATTTTTGGTTCTGAAAGAGGTGAGTTGGAGAACTTCCTGGTTATTTATCTTCATTTATTTTAAATTCCTTATATTTAGTTCTGCCCTATGGCATGTATTTGCCCACCATTGATGAGTACAAGTATGCCACTCCCTACTATGAAATCTTCTTTGTAATCCAAGCCATTATGGCTCCCATGGGATGTTGCATGTATATTCCCTACACCAATATGATAGTGACCTTTACTCTGTTTGCCATATTGATGTGTCAAGTTCTGCAACATAAACTGAGGAGTCTGGAGAAGTTGAAAGGTGAACAAGTGCGAAAGGAGATAATATCTTGCATTAGATTTCAACTAAAGTTGGCGGGGTATGAGTATTACTAATATTTTCTTTACAAACTTTAAGCTGTAATATATTTTTACTTAAAGATTGGTAAGCTCTATGAATTCCCTAAATACCCATCTTCATTTGGTGGAATTTCTGTGTTTTGGAGCCATGTTATGTGTGTTACTTTTCTCTCTCATAATAGTAAGTAAGGTTTATTTGATAATTAACATTATCTAATTAATAATTTCTTATACAAAGGCTCAAACTATTGCTCAAACAGTCATAGTTATAGCTTATATGGTTATGATTTTTGCCAATAGTGTGGTTCTCTATTACGTGGCCAATGAACTCTACTTTCAAGTGAGTGCTTACATATCCTCAAAACTTTAAATTTAATTTTCCAAACCCCATGCAGAGCTTGGACATTGCCATTGCTGCCTATGAGAGCAATTGGATGGACTTTGATGTGGACACACAAAAGATGTTGAAGTTTCTTATAATGCGTTCTCAAAAGCCTTTGGCGGTGAGGTCCTTGGACCACTTAATACTCACTTATGTCTTATTATTATTACGCATTATATATTTATTCTATAGATTCTGGTGGGAGACACCTATTCCATGAATCTGAAGATGCTGCAGTCGCTATTGAATGCCATCTACTCCTTCTTTACCCTACTGCGACGCGTTTATGGCTAGGGAATATCCGCTTACAAGGTTAGACTTGGGACTCCTATCCTCCGGTGGCAGCCTTGGAAGGGACGAACAATTGCCACAATTGATTGCATTTAAGCAGTAAGCGTTTTGCACTAAGGAAATTGTGTGTGTTTCTCTGGAGAAGGAAAACTAGTGGCAACTGCAGTCGAGCAGAAACTGCAGCTACACGTCTCCGAAATATTCCAAAGGCTCCCAGCCAGCTAGCTACGAAATAAACCATAATAAAATTGCTTCTGTGGATCCTTTTGTTGGCCCTTCTCCTTCGACCACATCCCTGGCATCCTGGCAGTTGACCACCATCAGCTTCCCTTTTGTTGTTGGCCATTGCTTATGCCCGGCACGTGCCATTCAGATAACTTCTATTTAAGCAAATATAAATCTAAAGTGTGCTAAATTAGATTAAAATGTTCTCGTAAAATAAACGTTGTCCAGTCCAAACGCCAGCTGATACCGGGGAGTAGCACCTTCTAGCACTTGGTTTGTGTTTGGAAATTGCTAACAAAACTTATTGTGAGCCAAAATGCATGTAAACCAAATTGTTAATTAATGTTGGAAATTGGAAAGTTGTTTATACATATTAGGAGAGGTAAAATGTAAGGGTTTGTGCAGAATTTTTCAGGGAATTAATGTAGTAAGATAATCGAAAGTTGTTTTCATTGGATAAGTGTGATTTCTTAAGAACAAATAAGTCCTATTTATTTGTAGCCCCTTGCAGGGTATTATAATAATGTAAGAAGTTTGCAATGCAGTGAAGGAGTTATCTCCGACCACATAAAGTATATATAGTAGTAGTAAGAAACTATGAGCAGTACGTAACTATGAACACTAAGTAACTCTGAACAATAAGTATCTACGACCAGTAAGTAACTATTATCAGTAAGTATCAATAAACATTAAGTAACTATGATAAGTAATTAACTATTAGCAGCAAGTAACTATGAGCAGTAAGTATCTATGACCTGTAATTTGACTAGTAAGTATCTATGACCAGTAAGTATGTATGATCAGTTACTAACTTTGAACACTAATAAACAATGACTTGCAACTTTGTAACACAACACATATCTGAGACTTGGCCGCAGAAGGCACTTCGTTCCGGGATGTTAGAACCAGTTGGGAATCATATGCACAGATGTGCGATATTTGTTTGGATCAATTTAAGCTATTTCAATGAAACTATGGAGTCATTCTGTAATAATTTTACAAGTATATAATCGGAGCATGCCAAATCGGTGGACTATATATACATACATATATATAGTTGCCATAGGAACGATCGGAAAATTTTAAGAAAAGTAATTATAACTTTTCCAGTTTTTAACAGATTATTGTCAAATTTGATATATAGCCATATATATAATCTAGAATTTGTGTACAATTTTATAAAATCGAACTTCTAACGATCGTTAAAATTAAGGAAAATGCAAAAACTCAGAAGAATTTCCTTCATTTCGTTAGTATCTCTTTGCTTTTCTCTCGATTTCCTTTTACATTTTGGAGGCCACACCTTCAAGTGTTGCGATTCCCACACATTATCACTTGAATTTTCCTAATCAGCATTAACTTTCACTTGAGCATCAGGTCGCAGCCCCAACTCTAAGGATTCCCCGTCATCATCAACCAATTTCGACGTCGACTCCTCTTCAAATTGACTTTAATTTAAGAATTTTTGATATGCCCCTCACAGAGCCCAGAGCTCAGCAAGGAAGGAAGGACGCAAGAAAGGAATCCAAAGTCGGGGGCAGACCTACAAATGGAATCGCTTGACGAGCCTTCCGGCTTTGTCTGAGTCTGTGTCTGCGTCTGTTTAATGGAATTTACCTCCTTCCCGGAAATGTTGGATTCATGACTGCCTCGTTTTACGGCCCCGCTTTTTGGCTCTAGGACGGGAATCTTTGAAGGAGAAAAAAAATGCTGATGCGACAATTATAGTTATTGTCTGGCTGGTTGGAGGCAGGACTCCCTAATTCCCCCCCAAAATTCGTCGGTACGTGAGCACCTCAGGATCCTGCCACTGCCTTATCCCGATGGCAGCTGGCACATCTTGAATTTCAGATGGTACTGCGCCTGTTTTATTGCTAATGTAAACATGTTGTTGGCTCCGTCAATGTCTTTGACGCCAAATTGACACATTTCTAGGGCGGATATTCCCGGCATCATCCCCCTTATTCCATCATCCAGCTTTCCAAATAGTGTGCTAAAATGTTGTACGTGAGAGCATGGGGCTTATCAATACTAACAGCAAAAAGCAGAAGCTGTCTAGTGTTGCCAAAAGGAGGTCGGGGAAAAGATATAAGGTTTAGTTTATAAAGAATATAGTGTTTGAATAACTACTTAGTTAGATTTCAAACTTAAACAATTTAATCTTATTTTAATTGATCATTTAAGAAGAACCTAGAACATTAAGTAGTAAGAAGAAATGTATTTTAGAAATAAAAGTATTAAAGTATCGAAAATTTAATGTTAAAATATTGATAACCCCTTTATTTATTCTAAAAAGACACTTTACTTTCCCTTTATTTATTTTAATTCATTATTATATTTATATATTTATTATATCTATATTTAGTGACAAGAAGAATAGCTATTCCGTCACCTCTAAGAACCAGCTCCTCCTGACAGCTCCTGGTAATCTTTAATTTTCCAGGCAGGTGGCAGTGTGAAGCGGCCCTCAAGGCATTCGAAATTTATCAGGGCTCAAATCAATTTACGCCAATTCTCGCCTTCGGGCCAAGTTATGTGTGAGGGGGATTGCTATGGAGTGGAAATCATGACGTCTGCCAGTGGTGTCTAATGAGGCGACTCCAGATATAACCCTTTCCCCATTGAACTCTCTAACTGCGAACTCCGCCCCCGAAGAATTTGCTTTCGTAGTTTTCTCCCTCACCAGAGCTTGTTTTATGCGCATCATCCAGAAATTGCCTACGTGTTGGAATTTTTAAAACATTTTTCTTGTTCGCTTCCGCTTTTTATTTTTATTTTTTTTCTGTTGACACTTGACTTTTGACCCCGTCCGAAAAAAGGGACAGGCGACGACGAGAGTCGTTGATCCTGCCTGGGAAATTTAGGTCAAGCGGTCAAGTGTTTTATGTTTTCTCTTTTTTACTAAAAAGAACCAACCTTTTAAGGGTTTTATGATGTTTGCCTGCAGTGACAAAAAGTTTAATGGAAAGGGCAACTCATAAGGGAAACTTAATGGGGGAGGGTTTCTAGGGTGCCTTGAGCTGAGATTAAAGTTGAGTGAAAAGTTGTTATCAAAAAGGAAATTATAAATAAAGTACTGCTTTAAGTATAAAGATTACTTTTAGCTAAACTTTGAGATGCTTCCTCTTGCCTCTCTCTTTAATTAGTTAATAGCTTTCATCTAATGCTAATCACTATCTATGTCAATCTTCAGGGATTTAGTGGTTGCCTTGACCTCACTCTATCTAGTATCTATGTCAGGGAGGAATGTCAATGGGGAAGGACTCTAAAGTTTTCCATTAGAGCATGCTCTGCATAATTGAGGACATTTTCAGTTGCATTTGCAAGTGTGTAATTGAAACTAAAAGCTCTACCTGCTCTATCCGCTGCATAATTGAAGGTGTACCCGGCGAGGCAAATCAAATTTAATTAACTGACTAAACAGTTGGACCACGTTGGCGTACGTGGCATATACGTTATGTGTATTTACCGGCTAATGAAATTAATTTAGCCGCATGAATTTCTGGCATTCATGTGATTCGAATTCGTTCACTGCCAATCAGAAACACAATCAAAGTTGCACGCCAATATTCCTCCGATAAAACGCACTTAGCTCTGATCCTGGCTCCTGGCTCCTAGTTCCTTTCTCGTATCGGCTGCCTGTCTGTCAGGCAAATTGCTATTTACGGTCTGGACAGGTCGGCATCCAAATTGCTGCACAAATCTGATTAAGATTTCAGTTTGGTAAGCGATTTATGAATGCCACAACGAGAGTGCGTGACCAGTGCCAGGAGCTGTGGAGGCGGTAAGGTCTCTTTCTGGCCAGGATTATACACACACGGTCGTATCTCTCTCTTTCGTTTAATGCTTCCTATTTGGTCAGCGCCAAATTGGCTGCAGGCCAATTGCAATCCAAAGGCCTTTCACATTTTTGGCAGAAACAAGAATGAGTGCAGGATTTTTCAGGGTTGTGTCTCTTGAAATTGATGTAAGTGGCAATGAAATGGTTTTATAATAGAAACCTTTGGAAAAAATACACTTTTGAATTGAAGTTCCAGAAGTTAATACTTTTCCTTAAGATATTAAAGAGTATTTACTTTAAACCTTTTTTGCAAAGTCTGTTACCTAAACTAACATAAAAAACACTTTAAACTTCATTAAGTTTAATACTTTAAGCTCTGACATTCCTTTATATTGAGCTCATTATAATCCGATGACCATTAAAATTCAGCTTTAAATCTCTTTTGTTGTCCAACATTTCTTAAAATTCTTAAAATAAATATCCAAGCACTTGGCATGTAACCAAATGAAATCAATGCCAGCCAATTTTCTGTATTAACCAAGAGCTTCTTGTCCATTCGACGAGTTCTATTATTGGCCAACAAGCTGTTGTCACTTTGTCTCGTTTCTATTTTTATATTCCTCTTTGCCGCTGGTGCTTTTATTGTAGTTCCTTTTGGCCACTTTGAATTATTCCAATTTGATTATCCTGCGGTTACTTTCCATAGTCCTCACGGCATTCGAACCACACCATATATATATTTATTATGCATTTCTTTTTTTCTGTCAGTTGTCTAACAAAATGTTGCTTGGTTGTTGTTTTTCTGCTGGTTGTCGTTGTCTGGCGGCTTTGACACTTTGTTACCGCCTGTCGCTTTGCATTTTACTTCCGTCCTTAGTCCTTCGTCCTTTGTGCCGTCTGCTCCATTTTGGGCCTGTTTAGTCTCCGGGGTAGATTATCACCGTCATGGCCAATGAGCCTCGAGCCGTTTGCCAGCCAGCCTTCTTCTAGCTGCCTT